GGACCCCACTTACCTATCTCCAGGACAATAAAGACGACATTTAAGTTTTTCAGTCCGGGCTTAATATCTTTTATAAAAAGAAGTGGGTCGTTGACCCCATTCATATTCAGGCAGGTGCGGCTACGACTGCAGAGACACTCGGGTGGGCAGGGCGGGGACAAAGCTTCCCACCCTCTGGGGCTAGAGGTGAGGGCGGAGGGGCGACCTTGGGCGGGGGTGGCGAGAGAAGGGGCAGAAAGCGGTTACTCAGGGACCTGAGAAACCAGCCCGGACGGCACAGAGCCTAAAAACAGAAAAAGAAAAAAAAAAGCGCTCACAAGTTCAAAATTTAAAAAAAAGACGCACCACTCCGCACACCAACACCGCTCCCAACTGAGGTATAGGATGGCGAGTGTGCGAACTGCCCCGTTCTTTGGAAAAAGGAAGGAAAAAACAGGAAACGAGGAGACAGCTCTCCACAGAGTCTCGTCCACACACACCCGGGCGCGCGCCCAGCCTGTCCCAGTCTCTGGAAAGGGACGACCTGTGACAGCGAAACGAGAGCAGAGACCGAACAACCTCGCACCCACCGTCCCAAACAGCGACTGGCGAACGCGCCCGCGCGCAGGATGGAGCCCCCCGGGTGCTCCGCCCCTTGTGACGTCACTCGGCGTCGGCACGCCCTCCAGGCGCAGAGGAAAGAAAGGGGCGGGAATAGATCTCAGGCGCCGCGCTGCTTCCCTCGCTCCTCCCTCGGGACTGTCAGAGCGGGCCACGCCCCCTAGGCTTTCCAGTACATTCGGCCCCGCCCACTCCGCTCGCTCCCTCCGGACTCCGGTCCGACGCCACACGTAAGTGCTACGTCGCTGCTCTCCTCCCGAATTTTACAGCTCGGTCTCCAACTTTGGGTTTTCTTTTCTTTTTCTAGTTTTGTTTTGAGACAGAGTCTCACTCTGTTGCCCTAGGATAAAGTGCCCTGACGTCATCATAGCTCACGGCAACTTTAAACTCCTAGGTTCAAGCGATCCTCCTGCCTCAGCCTCCAGAGTAGCTGGGACTACGGGCGCCCGCCGGCGGCGGCACTAGCTTTCTCTATTTTTTTTAAATGGGGG